TTTTTTTTTTTTTTTTTTTGGTCTGAGCCTGTGTTAAAAAGGAGTGGGTGCTATTTGAAGGAGTCCATGGTTTCTGTAGCGGGATACAAACAGAGTGAGGACTGAGCATCTGGTAAAAGCTGAGCTAATGTCTCAAATGTCCCTGGCCCCCAAAGGTCCATACTGGTTCCATTGCTGACAGCATTCTAGACCAAATCTTAGAGTTCAGGGGTTGAATTTCCTAATCTCTGCACCTGGTACAGGTCCACTGACTGATGTCCTTTGGTCCCGGGAGCAGGAAGTGGCAAGCAGGGAACAACTGCAGATTCCCTTTGGAAACATTCTCTATTCTGAATTTTCAGGCTGTATAACTACTGAAGGTGGACATCTGTCCCGGGCAGAGACTCCTGCTTATGGAGGCTTACAGGGACCACCATCCTTTTATCAAAGCCATCAGTCCCCAGTGGCACAGCAAGAGACTCTCAGCCACCCCTCACATAAGTTCCAGTCTCCAGCACTGTGTTCGTCATCTGTGTGCTGCTCCCACTGCTCCCCAGTCTCGCCCTCCCTCAAAGGTCAGGTCCCCCCACCCGGGATACACTCAGCTCACAGCTTCAGGCAACCCTCTGAGATGGCACCCCAACAACTGGGGTCTCTGCAGTGCCCTGCCCTGCTGCCCAGGGAGAAAGAGCTGGCTTGTAATCCTCAGCCACCAAAACTGATGCAGCCCTGGCTGGAAACGCAGCCCCCCGTGGAGCAGGAGAACTCGTCTCAGCGGCCGGGGCAGCAGCTGACTTCCCAGCCAGTGTGCATCGTGCCCCCGCAGGATGTTCAGCAAGGAGCCCATGCCCAGCCCCCCTTACAGACCCCCTCCATTCAAGTCCAGTTTGGCCACCACCAGAAGCTGAAGCTCAGCCACTTTCAGCAGCAGCCACAGCAGCAGCTGCCACCTCTGCCACCTCCGCCGCCCCCACCCCAGCAGCCGCCGCCGCCACCTCTACCTCCATCCCAGCACCTGGCTTCTAGTCAGCATGGAAGCCCGCCTGGGCCTGCCTGCTCCCAGAACATGGATATAATGCACCACAAATTTGAGCTGGAGGAGATGCAGAAGGACCTGGAGCTTCTCCTTCAGGCTCAGCAGCCCAGCCTGCAGCTGAATCAGACCAAATCTCCTCAGCACCTTCAGCAAACCATTGTGGGGCAGATCAACTACATTGTGAGGCAGCCAGCACCCATCCAGTCCCAGAGCCAGGAGGATGCCGTGCAGGTGAGCCTCAGGGTGGTTTGGGACACATGTCCTCCCTGTCCTGGGATCGCTCGGCAAACACAGCCTCCCCAGTCACAGGAACACAGATTCTTCATCTTAGGGTGGCCTTGAACTCAGCCCTCACATTTCAAGTCCTCCCTGGGTTCCCCTGCCCATCACAGAAAAGCTCTAGAGAGCATGGTACTTTGCCCCAACATAGATCTGGGCTCAATACTCTCCAGAGTGGCCTGGCTTAGCCCTGCCCTCCTAGATGACGCTAGGGACCTTGTCCATTAATAGAATCTTCTGAGCTGTGCTAGACTCCTGCCATTGCCAGGACAGAAGGGAGGCTGTTTCTTATCTTTATAACCTCCCACTTCCCTGGCTGGGAACTTAGGAATCTCAGGTGAAAGGGGAGAGCTTCAGGAGCAGCGGGAGGGCATGCTTTGATTCTAGTGGGCAGCAGCTTTCCAACACTACTCAGCTGTGGACTTAAAATTTACTTCAGATATCTTAAGCTGGGTATGTTTTATATATACTATACGATTTATCCTATCAACAGTGTTAGGTGGGCATTGCCATGTGTATTTTATAGGCGCAGAAGAGGGGGTCAGAGAAGGCAAGCACTTTGCCTAGAGATCATAAAACATTGAGCGACAGACAGAGCCAAGGCTTGGATCCCGGTCTGCTGACTGTAATTCCACAGAAGAGGCCTCGTTCTCTCCCTGGGGGAGTGATGAATGCCGCTCCTGTCTTCTCTCAGTCATGAGCCAACTGAGGAGGTACATTTGTACCTCTGGGATCTTTGCTGCATTCCACATCTTCATCCTTAACTAGTGCTTTTCTTTTTTTCCTGGAGTTTCCTGTTCCAGCCCCTTCTCCCCATCCTTTCTCACTTTTTCCCCAGTGGTATGTCCTTTAATTCTGTAATCACGTTTGTATCTTCAAAGCAGCTCTATGGACTTTTACTTTATTATAAAATATAAGGCCTCACATTTCTGCTTTAGCACTGACAGCGTCAGATCATGCTTCAGATGTCTCCCTCTGAGGCTCAGTTCCTTTGAGGAGATATGAAGCCACCCTCATGATGGCAGAGAAAGGTCTAGGGTTCACTGAGGACCACAGGCAAAATGGAAGTCAGAACCATTAGGATTGCTAAAGTGAATACGGCAGGGTTAGCCCAGAATTCTTGGTTTGGGTTCTACCTTGAGACTATCATATTAGGATGTAGTCTCAGTAAGAGTTTAGATAAGAGTATCTTTCTTTCTGAAAAATTTTCAAGCAGGTCACAATGTATAGTTGATGACAATGGGTAATGCAGGGTGGCCATCAGCCTTTGCTGCTGCCATTGCTACTCTTTGCGGTAAAACCCACTCAAATTCTTATTTTCTTCTTCAGGCTTCAGATGAGCCCCCAGCATCTGAAGGTCCAAAGCCGGCTCTCCCTCTTGACAAGAATACTGCTGCTAACTTGCCCCAGGCGTCTGGGGAAGAAACCCCTCCCAGTGTCCCCCCACTGGACAACACCATCCAGCACTCCTCTCCAAATGTGGTGAGAAAGGTACTAATGGAGCCCGCATTCCCTGACCATGGGGGACCCGCTGCCACCCAAGAGCCCGGGGCCCCGGATGAGGATGACTGGGCTGGGGGGAGGAGTGTCCCTGTTCCATCCCTGGATATTACGCAGCCCTGACTCATGCTGTCTGTCCTAATGAGTCTGCAACAGAGTCCTCCTTCACCCCATTTCCACTCCCACACGCACTTAAAATGACAGCAATTATCCTTCATTTAGGGTGGAAGTGGTAAAGGGAAAGGGAAATTACACACTTACACAGTGCCTGGAATGGTGCATGGGCTTCACAGTTCTGTGAGGTGGGCACCCCCACTTTCTAGCTGAGGAAACTGAGGTCCAGGGCCCTATAGTTTGTAGACAAGAGGGGTGAGGTTTATTTAAAACCGGGTTTGTCAGAATCCAGAGACTGTTTTTTCTCTGCAATGAAAATGGGGGAAGCATTATATGTGTCCCCACAACCCAAAATTGATTGGCTTTAGAATTTGAATCATTGGAGTTTTTTGGGTGAGTGATTTGTAAGGACATCCTGCAGAGGTAGCTGAGCATCTAGGGGCACTGAGAATTCTGGAAGATAAGCTACCCTTCCTGTCCACCAACTTACCTGCTTGCTAGAAATGTTCATTTACCCCTGCTTGCTAGAAATGTTCATTTACCCATAGCCCATCAGCTGTCTTCCCCTTATCCCTGCCCTTCACCCTCACCCCTGTCATCCTCCTAGCTGGAACCTCATTGATGTGTTGTGCTCCCCACTCAGCCTGCCCTGTGTGCCTTGGCCTGTTTCTACTTGTCCTGTTGCCTTCTTTGGCCTGGTGCCTCCTCTCAGCCCTGCACTTGAAGCTGTGTCAGCTCTTCGGTACCCTCCCAGACTGCATGCTTAGCCCTGCACATCCCCCTGGCTCTGTGGCCCCAGTACACAGTTGTCCTATGTACCTGCCCCTCACTGTGTTTCCCCCAGTGACGCTGATGCCATATGTATCTTAGATTAGTCTATCCCAGTGACACTTGAGAAGAGACTTTAGAAAAGCAAGGGATGGCGAAATGAAATGGTAACTTGGAAAACCCTGGTGATGCTTGAAGTCTGGCCCAGGCCTCTGGTATTAGTGGTTGTTTGCCTATGCTGGGCCTGTCCTACCCTATTGAAAATGGTTTGGCCTAGAGGCCATAGAGATGCTATAAATAGGCCCTTTGTGGCTCTTAAGGGTTTAACTTTTTACACTTAAGGCTTAGGCTGTTTGTCTATCGATCCATCCATTTATTCACTCACTGTTTTATATATATATATATATATA